GATAGAAAATTCCAGTATTAAAGCTAAAGGTTAATTCCTAAGTCTCTTTGCATTCTCTATCTAGCATTCTCTTTGTGAACTTTCAGGTGTCCATTAAACATTCCAGTAGAAAAGTAGAGGAGAAAAATAGATAAATACATATGGATTTTAGGGAAGAGATCCAGGTGGAAAATATACAATGAAATAATCACCACAAAGATGGTATTTAAAACTATGAGACTAGATAAGCATGGAAATGAGTACATATTGAAGAAAAATGTTTTAAGAACTAAGCTTGGCAGATTGTGCACCAAGATGGTGACATAAGAGGCTCCTGAACTTCACTCCTGCCAAGAATTCACAGAAGGAAGATATATTCATGGGAAGCATTGCCTCCCTCTGAGAGATGCAGACACTAGCTGGTTGCACCACATCGAAAAACTAAGAGAATGTCCACATTACACAGGTAAAACAGGCTGAATCCGGTATTACTACAGGACTTCACCTATCAAACATATACTCTTGTTAATCCTCACCGGAAGGTGTTTTTCCATTGGTTTTTAAAGAGAGTGGAAGGGAGGGGGAGAGACAGAGAAAGAAACATCTATGTGACAGAGATATCAATTGATTGCCTCCCACACACGCTCTCTAACTAGGGCCAGGAATCCAGCCAACCCTGAGCCAAACTGGCCAGGGCTCAGACATATTCTTGTGATTCCAGAATTTATTTTTTCATCTCTGTCTTATAAGATATAATTGTCAACCTGTATTTTTTTTTTCTTGGTACTTCTAGTGAAACATATCATTGTTTTTTCCCAAACCAGTATTTTTTTTTCTTTAGTATCTAGATGGACTTACCATCCATCCAGTCACCCAAGCAAGAAAGGATGCTGTCATCTTGAATATACTCCCTTTTCACTGGCCATACTTCAGTCTGCCCCTGCCCTCATAAAACAGATTAATTCACTTAGAAACAATCACCGTTATCACTGTTTTCTGCTGTCTCTCCATCTTATTGACATTCTTTAGAAAAACCTCTAATCAGCTTTTATATCCACCTTATCTTAGGCAAAGGCAAATTTTAAAAAGCCAATGGTACTATTCAAATATGTTACTATAATTACTTTTTTTTTCAACCATGAACTGGCCACCCAAGAACAGAACTAAATAAGTCAAAGCAATATCATTAAATAGTATTATGATAGAAATAATAAAGATAATACATTCCTTTTACTTGTCGATCTTTTGTGTGGTAAATATAAGGACGAGTATACAAGTTTGAGACCCTATATCTATCATTTAATTCCTTGTTTATATGAACTCACTTCTTTAAGAATTTATTTCCATGAAATCATCAGTTCCAGATTTAGGATTAAGGGAAGTAAACTGAGATAGGTATTATGACTGGAAACTAGGTGATTTATAGTTTTACTGAATATTTAGAAATGCCATTCTCCCTAAAACTAATTTTTTAATCTAATGCTTTATGAAGATTAAATAAAAGCAGCACTCAGAATGACAGGCACCAAAGAACTGCACAAACATTTCCTTAGTGTTGGCACTAGGAGCACTTACTTTTTTCAAAATATTCGAGGTTGGCGTCATTGGGAATGACTGGAAAGGCTAGAAGGTTTCAGAATGTGGCTTCAGATTTCTCTTCTCATTACCTTGAAATAAAATCAAACATTGCATGAAATGTTCGCACAAATGGACCTTTTAATATTCTGAATTAAAAGCATATAATCTGAGCCTAGAAACTGGCTTTGAAATACTTATTCCAGGAAAATAATTGGCTTATTCTAATTACAAATCTAGAACCCAATTTAAAATAGAAAGAATTTAAACTTCATTACAAGAATCAAAATTTTCTATAGAATTATACATCTTTGTGGCTATATGAAATAAAAGTGTAGTCTCCAGGAAAATTGGAATCCAATGTTAGATGGCACCTTAGTGGCATCTGTTATTGAATGGTAGATTGAAAAGGATGCCCATATAAAGGCATAATACAAAGCATTCACACATAGACTTGAGAAAGAATGAGATATCAAGAATAAGAAAATTTAGTTTACTTTTCAGTCTCTTGTTTTCTCTAAATTTTCTTTTAAATAGGATTGATCAGTCATTCCAGAATTACAATATAACTTTTTATATTTGTAGATTTAATTGTAACACCTAATCCCCATATTCTGGGAATGTTATTTATATGACAAAAGGTTTCTGCAGATGTGATCTTGGATAATCTAAATTAAGACTATCCTGTGATATCTGGGATAATAATCATGCCATTCATTATAAGAGGGAGGAAGGAAAGTCAATAAAGGTGACATGAAGACTGAACCTAGACATTAGAGGGAGGGAGGGGTCCCAGAGCCAAAGAATGCAACAACCTCAAGCAGCTGGAAGAGGCAATGCACACATTCTTCTCAGGATCCTCCAGAAGGTGCTAGCACTGCCATCTCTGGACTTAAAGTCCCAGAAGACTTAGTTCCAACTGTTTACCTTCAGAGAATTGTAGCAATTTGTGATAGGAAATTAACAAAGTATATATTACTTTTAGATGATAAAAAAATGTTATTTTACTATAAATAATAAGTTTTCTATACTTTTCAAGTAATTTTTATTAAATTGAAAAAATTATGAAAATCTCTCTACACATGTCTGTACCTGTTGCCAATTTGACCTACAGTTTAAGATTCACTGGAGAAGCCGAAACCAGTTTGGCTCAATGGATAGAGCGTAGGCTTGGGGACTGAAAGGTCCCCGATTTGATTCCAGTCAAGGGCAAGTACCTTGGTTGTGGGCATGTCCCCAGTAGGGGGTGTGCAAGAGGCAGCTGATCGATGACTCTCTCATCGATGTTTCTAACTCTCTATCTCTCTCCCTTCCTCTCTGTACAAAATCAATAAAATATATTATTAAAAAAAAAAAAAAGATTCACTGGAGAAAATGGTCAAACTGTCCTTCCTACTCTCACACAAATTGATAGGTTATTTAATTTATTTTGGTGGTGGTTGTTAATCTTCACCCGAAATATTTTTCTCTTGAGTTTTAGAGTGAAAAGAAGGGGGAGAAATATATATATAGAGAGAGAGAGAAACATTGATGTGAGAGAGAGAGATATTGATAGGTTACCTCCTGAATCTGGGCCAGGATCAAGCCTGTAACCCAGGTACATGCCATTGACCAGGAATCAAACCCAGTACCCTTCAGTCTGCAGGCTGATGTTCTATCCAATGAGCCTAACCAGATAGAGCCAAACAAATAAGCTTTTAAAGATAAAAGAAACAATATGGCCCAATAACTTGCCATCAAAGCAGTCTTCATAGAACCATAGAACACTAACTTTTTATATCTTAACGTCATCAACAACAACAAAATTATCAGATCATGGGTCATGTTTATACATGTATATAGCTTAGTATTTGTCTGTTCTCCAATTCTTTGCATATTATTCTTCCTTTATGACCCACATCCCTTTGAAAAGGAAAATGGGGGGAGGGAGCGGGCTTGCAACCTAGTTCAGTGTCTGGTAAAACCGTAGTCTTACTTCCCCACTCTGACGGGTGGAGCCGCAGAGCCTAACCCCAGGGCCCGCCACAGCTGGCTTGGCCAGAACTTCGGGGCCCTCAGGAGCCTGTCACAGGAGAAGATATAGAGGCCAGAGCCTCCCCACAAGTTCAGTTCAGGCTTTGGATCTGGAATTCCCCTGGATTGGAGATCTGCTAAATAAAGGTTAAACTTTCCTCCCTCGGAGTGCTGGCTGATCGTTCTCCCACAACATGTTCATATTCTGTGTTAGAAAGTCCTTTATCTGCTATCTCTCCTGTGATATGAGGCGTTTGGGTGTAGAGTCCCACTGAAGCCAGAACCTCCATCTTTGTGTTAAGCCCTCTCTCTCCAAGTGCTTACAGAATAGAATATTATGGGATGGCAAGAACTTTAAGTCTCAAGAGATCCAAATCTCAGTGTGATTTTCCCTGTGAGAATTTAGAGTACTTGTCTCATGTATAACATCTCTCTAGTTCCATGTCTAAAAAACAAATGTGAACTAAATAGGTTTAAGATACCTTCAGGTTCTAAATTTGTTTTGTAAGTAGCCCTTCTTTTGACATTGTTGACACTCTTCTGGAAGCCTTTCTAGATAAACTTTTTCTAGAACTTTTACTACTTTCCCATCGCTTTGAATATGCGTATATTTAAACAAAGAAATGGATTCTGTGTATATATTTATCATTTATAATTGTCTGTGTTTAGTCTCTCCTGTGAGAGCTGGTACCAAAATTATAAGCTTTTATTCTCCTCCTAGCATTTGAGTAAGCATTACTTGCCTTGAAAAGCTAATTTGTTAGTTTTCTCTCTCTCTCTCTCTCTCTCTCTCTCTCTCTCTCTCTCTCTCTCTCTCTCTCTCTTTCTTTTTTAACTAAAGAAAAATTTCTCTAACTTGTTGCCAGGAGAATTTCATATTTCATATGGCAGAAATACGAAATACATATTTTCTGAGAGCAGTTTTACTCCTTTATCAGAGGCTTCATTTTTGAACGTCACTGATCACAGATGTCTCAGTATTCAGGTTGACTGGAGAAGGCTCTGGTCCCCGGTCCATGCTCCCAATGCTTGTAACCTAATGTTCCTAGCACCGTGATAAGCAGTGCAGGAGAGTCTGCAGCTGGAGCTTGCTGAGAGCTGAAAGCTGCCGCCACGCCTTTCACTGATGGAAAAATAAACAGCACTTTCTAGCCTAATGCAGGCAAAACCTGTTTTTCCAGAAACAGTATACCCTGATTAACTTCCATTGCAGTTTTTGTTATGAAATATGTGTGTTTAAAAATATGATCACTTCAGATTATACAAAAGAATATATATATATATATATATATATATACACACAATATATACACACATATATATGTATGTATGTATAAATATAAATATAAATATAATCTCAACATTTTGTCCAGGACTTTTGAATGTCACTTTCTACATATAAGTGGGTCTAATTCTCTTGTTTTTCTACTCAGATTGCCTGAAGAAAAGCCAAAGAAATGGTCTTAATTGCTCTTGAAGGCAATGATGGATGAAGGAAAGACAGGTAAGGAGAAAAAAGAGATTAAAAAAATGTGAGGAAAAAAGGGAGAGATTTGTAACTACTTAAGAATATGTGGTAAGAATGATGCAAGGAGGACATAATCCTATGAAAATAAATGCATTCTGAAAGTCCCATTAATGGGTAGAAAAACATAAATATTATTTAATCCTAGGGAACTGAATAAGATAATTGCAGGAAACTACCACTTTCTGGAAAGCTTTTCTATAGTACTTGTGAATAAATGTCTTATAGCAGTAAGGAAAGGACACCTTAATTTCTCTCCCTAGAAAGTCAACTCAGTGACCCAGTTTCATGGGGATTTAAGAAAGTTAACTTGTAGACATCACAGAGGCCTAATCAGATAAAAATCCAGTAATTTGGGATTCCTCAGTTTCAAAGTCATTATATAAGACAAAAGGCAGATCACTGTTATTAAATTGATTATAACCATTCTAATGGAGAAACATAACCACAGCAAAGAAAGGAATAATCAGAACCTTTATTTTGTGGTTTCAAAATTATTTTTAACAAGAACATCAAAATACATTTAAGACAAACTAACATGAAACCAAGAAAACTTTCAATAGACACTTAAGACATCTGTCATAGGGCACTGGTATTATGATTGAGGACTTATTCGCATAGAGTTTCATTTCAAGTTATATTTGTGAATGACTATCATCTTTTCCTTTCAGCTTATTATTTAGAAGCAGTTCCCTAATGGATATAAGTATCCTTTCTAACCATATCTCCTCTATCAGCACCAGAAACCTAAGACAATATATATTTTGGGGGCAATTTGGTCACAAGACTAACATTAGAATTTTTATTTTTTTTATTTTAAGTCAAAAAGAACCTGGCTATATTTCTACCTTGGGTCTTTGTCTTGCTTGCTGAAGCCATAGAAAATAATTTTAATCACTCTCTTAGTGACTGCCCTTCAGACATTGGAGGGCAGTGGTTCTTTACCTTCCGATTAAATCTACTCACGTATCATAGATTAGATTAAGTATCCCTATCTCTTTCCATCCTTCCCCACTTGGGAATTTTCCAACTTGTCTCTATCTCTCTTTAGAGAACAGCCCTCTTAACAGACAGGGCTCTAAATACTAGATAGAACTGTCAATTTAAGCCTAAACATGGATGACTAAAGCTTGCCATTACATTTGGGGTTTTCTGGAGAGCTTCTTCATTAGAGTAATTTATTTTAAAGATAGAATAAAATGTCTCCAGTTCTTTGTCAGAATCCCCACTGTGTAGAAGTTTCTGTGGCCTACATTAAGTGCTATATATTCATTCATTCATTCATTCTCCTTAATTCCATCTTCCTCTTCAACTACCATTTCAAGCAGTTTATTCAGTGATGGTGAATCTGCAATTTACTTCCGACCATCTATTACAATGAAAATCACAAACCTTTCTGTGGATTAGCAGTAGGAGATCATTATCCTTGATTTCTTTGGCCCTCAATAGAGATTAGTGCACTGTTGGTGCCAGCAAGTGTTAGGCAACATTAAAAAATCGGTTTTAATTATTGAAAATACGTGGGTAAATTCTAAAATAATTACACAATATTGAAATTTAATTCATTGATGTCTGTAAACATAATAAGGATTTGGTTTGGTTTTTAAAGCCTTTTCCTTTGTGTTTTATGGGATTTTAGAAGAATTATTATTTCTCATTATTTTTATGAATCTGTCTCGCTGGTCTGATGCTAAAAACTAAATAATATACTGTAGTATCACGGATGGCTCTGCTGGGCTCTGACTCATTCCCTAAATTAAGAGATGGCTCTGACTGTTTTCTCAAGGGTAAGTTCTGCTTCTACATCTGAAATACAAATTAAGACACTGACTTTAAAAAGATGCTAGGGCATGAAGAACATGTTCAAGGGCGGAAATGTAAAAGAGACAAGCTGTTGTTGATAGATCCAAAATGCAAATGTTGATAGATGCAAGTGCTGGCCTATAGGCAATATGCCCTTCCCAGGAAATACGTGCAAAAAAAAAAAAAAAAAAAAAAGTCCTCTTGGATTCAGGCAGACCCCAAAGAAAAGTTGCAGTTTATGGTTTGCCCTTGCCAGTGTTAGAACAGTGGCTAGAGTGTTGGCCCCTACATTGAAGGGTCTCAGGTTAGATTCCAGGTCAAGGGCATGTACCTGGGTTGCAGATTGGATCCTCAGCCCCAGGTCTGGGCATGTGAGGGAGGCAACCAATCTCCCCCTCCCCACACCCTCACCTCCCGCCTCCATCTTTCTCTCTCTCCCCTTGCTCCATCCTTTCAACTCTCTCCAAAAATCAATGGAAAAAATATCCTCCAATAAGAATTACCATACATACATACATACATACATAAAAGTGTCTTGATTTTAGTCATGCTAATTAAAACATCTTACCTATAGTTTTAATTTACTTTCTTCTGCTTTTGTCTGAGAATTCAAAAGCTATTGTTTGAAAACCAAATTTTACTCACTTTTTTTTTTTGTATTTAAGCATCTCTGTGGTTATAATGTTATCCTTACTTTCTAGGTCCAACCATTTTCACAACAGTCTCTCCAGTTTTTTTTGTCCTCTAACAGATAAATACAAGAGATTTTCTTTGAAAGGACTTGTTGAAAAATATTAGCTGTCTTAATACAATATCAGGGAAGAGTCAGTTTACTGTCAAAATTGCACTCTAGTCCAGTTATTTAGGTGTTTTTATGTTTTGTTATTGTTGCTTGGTTTTTGTTTCTCTGTGATATGAAAAAATTAATTTGCCCCTTTTAAAAACACTGAAGAAATATTTTATCTGACCTAGAGCTTTGCTAATATTTAAATGAATGTGATACCATTTAAAAATATTTGATGGAAGGAAAACACCTTTTCCTTGGAAGGAAGAAAATTATAAGATTAACCAAAGTGATTAATAACAAGGACAGTGACTGTGCATGTTGATGATGGATAGGAGCCAAACATTGATGTGACTCTTCTTGGGAAATAGAAATAAGCATGGCTTTCTGACACTTTTTAGTAGGATAAAAAAGAGAGAAGACTAGTCCAAAAATAGAAGAGCCAGTGATTGCCTTTGGAATGAGTTTTCTAATAATTGCTTAAGAATAAGCTGAAAGTTATTTCTTTCTGAGTCTTGAGAGAAAAATAGAAATAAATTAGACACAAAATTGTGATAAGTGACAATGTGTAAAAGCTACTTAATTATAACTGTGTAAGTTCTAAGACTGATTTTCAAGATACCTCTATCCTTCTAATATTTTTCATCACTCAAAATGGCTTTTCCCCTTAGTACATATTTTATCCATATTTCAAAGGCAGGGTCAGGCAGCACTGTGTATGACTTTATCTCATCCCACATAGGCTTATCCATTTCAAGTTTCCAGAAGAAAGTTTCTGTTCTTGACTATAAGAAATTTTTTATAGAATCCCTAGCCTTCCCTTTGTCATCACATGATTAAGAAAAGGCAAGGATGATAGTGGTTGCACTTGACTTTGGTGAGAATGATCTTAATCACTGTTGAGGTTCTCCATAGGGAACAGAAATGACCATGGTTATCTGACTAGTAGATGCAAGTACTTACTGGTCCTCTCTCTGTGATGGTCCTCAGTGCCCCTCTTAGGTCAACCTTCCCCAATACAAACTACGCAGGGACCAGTTTGATAAAGTAATTCTCAATGACAAGTAAAGCTCTCGGGGAATGGATGGAGTTTTATTAATATATAATCAAATTCCTATTAACTTTAAGTCATTGTGTATGAGGCCGGGATATTTCTAAGGCTGATGGATGTCCCTCTCACAGTGACACTTCTGGAAATGAGTTCTCTAGAAGTATTCGATTCAGTCCTACAAATCCATGGTGAGAGACTGGTTCCTTTGGTCCATAAAATGTCCCTAGGCCACATCAATTCTGTAACCTTTAGAGAATTTGCAAGTGTTCTCTTGGAGAGTGAAGTCTATTCTGTTCTCTGCTATTTCAGTGTATTGATTTATCAGTTTAACCCAAATAAGTAGTGGTTCTTAACTTTTCTGAATGATGGACTCATTTTTAAGGATCTGGTGGAAATTGGAGCTATTTTCTTTGGGAAAAGTACACATAACACACATAGAAAATATTGTACTAAATTTCATATTATTGTGAACTAGCCTAGAATATATCCATGACATGAAAAATTACAACAAAAACTATGCCACAGATATTTCAGAGGCATGGAGAGATTGGGTCTAGAAAAGAGAGTTCTGAGAAGTTTCTCTCATGGAAAATGGAGGACTGATATTTACCTATAAATCATTACTGACTGTCTACCATAAGCACCTGTTTTGACTCTTGGGCATCTATTCCGATAGGACAGTGCCTCTACCTTCCTATTGATAGGTGTTCAACTTTGCCCTTGTATACAGGGAACATATTTCTATGAACATGGCTGGGGAGAAAGGCCAAGGATGAGAGGACATGATTAGATTATGGAAGATGGAGATGAAATTCAAGAGTATGTCACTAAGACTACTGGGAAATTGCACTGAGATCAGCTTCGCAGCTGCGACTCACTCTCAGAAGGAACATGCATTTATAATGTTGGGCTTCAGGTTCCAGGTGAACTATGTTGATTGCAAAATGGCCCCAGTTCCCTACCCCGTTCCCATTTCCTTCTTAATTTATATTCTTTGCATTGTGATTTTGCAGCCTTTCCGTTCATGAACTAGAATCTATTTCTATACTCCTTAATCTGGCTTCAGTTTATAACTTGCTTTGGTCATTTGAATATGGAAGAAATGCTAGTATGCCAGTTTTGAGGCTGAACCTCATCTTCCCACCTCCTTCATCCTTCCCTTCCCTTCCCTTCCCTTCCCTTCCCTTCCCTTCCCTTCCCTTCCCTTCCCTTCCCTTCCCTTCCCTTCCCAACTCATACATTAGGCTAGTTGAATATGGATCTAAACATGCAGGAGGATTGTAAAATTGACTCATCTTCCCTATATATCTTGATGTCAGAATGATGTGATATGGAAAACAG